AGGAGGTCAGTAGGAACTTGGCACTAGATATCCATGCTGCTCCCCTTTGTTCTATGCTGCACTAATGTCTCACTGAGAGGAAAGTTGGGAGTTGAACAAAAAAAATTTGGGGGAGATATGTTTGAGGTTTTTTTTTTAATGGTTTTTTGAAATGAGGTCCCCATTGCAGCACTAACAATGGGGATTGGTCAAGAATTATTCTTCTAAAAGACCTTTTCCTCCCCTTGTGATGAATGTTTGTTCATTAAAACTAAAGCTTTTTGTGGGAATTCCATGGGAAAAGTTTTGCTGGTCCAGACAGAATTTCTAGTCAAAGGAAATGAGGGAGAGAGAGAGAGAAAGAGAAGGAAATCTGCCGTGCCTGGTACAGCCTGTAGCTCTGGGGTTAGGCTGTTCACATGGGTTCATTTGGGCTGGGCAGAAGCACAGAGGGAGGTTAGACCCTCTCTCTTTTGCCTGATTTGGAAGAAAGAATCCTGTCTCTTAAGGGTGTAGGAATCTCTCCAAGGTTGTTGGTTTTGGTGCTGCAGTCTCCCTCTTCTTTTTATAAGAAAATATTTGTGTGCAGAAGACCAAAGTTCAAAAAATAATCTGCTGTGTTTGGATGGCAGATGTTCCCTATGTCCCACCATAATTACCCACAGCATCTTCACAGCCATGGTGAATGCCTTGGTGCCTTGGCTTTGGTGGCAATGAGAGTTGTTCCATGTCAGGAGAGCGGCTGGGGAAGGCTGCCTCATCCCCTTTGGCTGCACATAGCCCTGCAAGGTGAGCATGAGAACTGCTAAGCACAAGCCTTTGGCTGGATGCTACTAGACACCTCTCTTCTCAGCTTTGTGGGGTAAACAAGCGCCCCATCTCTTTAATAACCATACAGTCTATTACACAGTCAGACAAGTCCCTTACTTTGTCCATAATTTTTATTTTTATTGTGCAGGCATTAAATGTATGTTTGAATGTGTGTACTTAAGGGACAAGGAATGAGAGATGTTTTAATTAATCTGGCCAAGTATTCCTCATAAGGCCATTACTAGGGCAAAATTGTTGAATAAATAATGTGCAACAGCAGATGTCCAAGCCCTGTTTTCCTGCCATAGCTCATGGCTTCAGAGACACTACTTTAAAAGTATGTTTTAATGAGTAGTCGAAGCAGTCAAGAGTAAGAAGGAACAGTTAGCATTTTAGAGCTGAGCAGTTGAGGTAAAATGGATATTTCTGCCTATGACTCTTCTCTTTGTGTATGAATACATTCCCTGTTGGGTTTTTTTTCTGTAATTTGGTTTTTTTTTAATCTATGTTTGCTGTCTCACAAAGGTTTCACTCCCCAGCAGCAGCAAGTTGGCAAGTGTTACTTGGTTTCTTTGCTGATGGTCAAGTCAAACCAAAGATGGCAGAAAACAGTGGAATGTGACAGCACCTTTAAAATAAATAATTAAATAGGTATAATATTATTATTTGTTCTAGGAAGACTGTGTCCCACTGACTTGCTGTCTTAAATATTCTTTCTCTGAGAAAAGTTTAGTTTAGGCAAAGAAGGAAAACCTTTCTTTCTCTGCCTGCAACTTCCATTAACAAGGAATGGCTTTTAAGTACCCTGCATGTATAATAAATATATGCTGGTTTCTAAGATGACAGCTTAATTTCATAGCTGGCATTAAACTTTCTAGCTTTGCCATAGGCTTTCTCTATTCTCCATTAACCTGGCCTTGGCAACAACAGCAGAGTTTCCAGTAAGCAGTTTGACTGGAACAGGAGGACTTCAGTGTCCTGGAGCTGGGATAGCATTTGATGAGCTCTTTGTTACCCATGAGACAATCTTTCAGGGTGACACTGCATGCAGTTCATGCCAAGTCCCAGACTAGGGAAACTGATGGTGTGGATTTTCCAGCTGATTTTGATGCCTTTTGAATACCCAACTGTTAATATGAATGGGTTTTTTTTAAGGGAATTAAGTGCTGTTAGAGTGGTAGCCTGGAGGAAAGAGTCTCTTCAGGAACTAGTGCTAGTTAATACATTCTGCTTAGCAGACAGATGTCACTGAAGGAAATTTCCACAAGGCTGTTGTCAGACTCAATGTGTTTGCTATTCTGATCTCCTCCAGCTCAGGGAAGGCTTGGTGGATCTGGAAGGGGTTCAGAGAAGGACTGTGCCATGTGGGACTCTCCGTCATGTAAATGAGACGAAGTAGAGATCTGTAAAGCAGGGAGGACTTCCACATCAGCTACCTCTAGATGTGCATTAGAACTGAGTAAAGTATGATCCCTGATGCTTCAGCTCTACCACTGTCATTGCTAATGATGGGCTACTGAATGCTGGTGACAGAGTCTGCATCATTATATCTGTCTGATAACAACTGAACAAAGCCTCTAAGATTTGTTTCACTCAGCCTTCAAACAGCCTTCAAGCAGAAACAGCTACCAGTTAGTTATGTATTCTGGTAGGAAATGTGACTATTCAGTTCCCACAAATGTCTGTTAATATGTGCAGAGAATTTTTTCCATTTTTTAATGCCATAGCACAGATGTGTAAATATGTAGATTTATTCTGTGTAATTTGCATACCTAACTGCAAATGTATGTAAAATAACGTACTAATTAATTAAAGAAATTTATTATTTTTTCTCTTTATTTCAATGAAAGTGGCTTATTTCTTTTTTCTAGCACATACTTTATTTTTTTCAGAGTAATTTTACTGAGAGTTTTGCAAGACTCAAAGGACTTGAGAAATCTTGGTTTGTCTTTGTGCACTTGGGAAGCTTTTGGGATTTAGATAGAAAAATTCCTGGAATGTAGTTCTCTTTAGCAGAAGTTTTTCTTCCTTTTACTTGTAATATAATGATGATAGAGAATTTTGCCCCTGCTTTTTTGCTTCCCCCAAGCTGCCTGAATGATTTGCCTCACCTGATGGCCAGGAGGGGAATTGCTGTCAGCAGACTGTGGGTAAGTGAGGCACTTTGATGTCAGCGGCTTGTTAGGGAGCTGGCAGACCTCTGGCTCAGTGACTTCTCTGTCCATGTACATCTTGGGAACAGTCTTTTTTTTCTTTTTCCTTTTTTTTTTTTTTTTTTCTTTCTTCTCAGATGTGAAATCTGTCAGCAAAGTGAAGTCAGCTTAAATATCAGCTGAGGCTTGGGTTCCCTTTCAGTTTTTGTTGACTTTATCCCCTCCTGCTCCTGCCCAGTCAAGTTTCTCTCTGCTTGAGTCAGACTTACCAACACTTAATTCTGTGTTTCTATTGTATGGATTTGTATGTGGCAAAGTTCAGGTGCCCTTCACATTCCCAGCCTTGACAGTGATCTGAAATGCTGAGGAGAGTGAGACATTTTGGGGTCTCTGAGACTCTTTCAGATGCTGCAGTTCAATTAGAAACCAGTAAAAATGTTTCTGGTTCCCAGGCATGCTGTACTCAGGTGATGCTGTGCAGACCTGCTGGATTTTCTTGTGTCTGCTGTTACCAGCTGTAAATTGGCACCCTTACTGTTCCCCAAATATGGAACAAAACTTACTCTCTCCACAATATAATTTATCACCAAAATGCAAGATATAACTAATGGCAGACAAAACAGAAGGAACCTGAGCACATGTTGGTTGTGTGCTGAGCCAGTCACAGGAGCAGGATGCTGAGGTTATGCCATGTCTGTTGGCTGATGATGCAAATATCTACAGATCTGGGGTGAACCTATGGTGTCATTGCTGGTCAGCAGGAGCTTTTTATGTATCGAAGGCTTGAGGTGACTCGTGGCAAGGAATTACAGGTTTTGTGGCCTATTTATAAAAATAAAATTAAAACCACAGTAAACTGCAGGGGAGAGGAAGGCTAGGGAAGAAGAGGACAGCTGTTTCTCCTGCTTGTTTTTCATCACTCTCCTAAGGATAAAAGTTAGAGTGTTGTCTTTTGTTACCCTAGGATGTGTTTTCAGCTGTCTTGATTGCTTTGTTTTCATCAGTGTGATACTTTCAGTAGTTTACAAAGTTGAAATAATTTTTCTGCTTGTCAAAAGGACAGAATACCTGAAGAGTTATAATTGAGAATTTCTGGCAGTTGAGCCAAATAAGTCTTACCATTGTGGAGGTACTCTGCGCTTCTCTTCCCCCTTAGATGCTGGTCCATGTGAGAGGCAACAGCCTGGCACTGTCCCTGCACCCTACACTCCTTTGTGGGCAGCGCTTGGGCTCTGTGTGCCAGGCTGGCTGCAGGAGCTGCTTCTGGGCTTCTTCCTGTTCTTTGGTGGATGCCACTACTGTTCTCTTTGACAATGTCTTTGGAAATAGCTTTTCCTGTGTAAGAGGTTCTTAAGGCACAGGGCCTTACCTGCTGCTCAGCAGAAAGCGGTGTTGGGTGCTCCGTGTTTGCCAGGTGAGGACGACAGTGGAGAGTGCTGGAGAGGTGATGGCAGTGGGGGTCGAGTGGGATATCCCATTCTGTTCCCTGCTGAGGTGTGTGCAGATGCTGTGTGCACTGGATAAAGCTGTGTTAAAACATAACCTGCTCCTCTTGGGATCATGTTGGAGAGGTGGTATTGAGGGGGAGGAGTGTTTTGCAGTCTGGAGAAAGAGACGGAGGGGCAGGGCAGGGTGTTTGTGTCCTTTGTTTAACTGGAAAATACAAGTCACAGTTTAGAATCTCTCAACTTGTAAAAACAATCTGGGAAATGCTTACCTCATGGCTGCATTAATAGTGAATTATTTTTACCTGACAGTTCATTTCCAAAACCCAAGTGATCAAGAAGAGTTTTTTCTGCTGTTTCTGGCATCCTGAGCACCCGGCAGTCAATGTCTTTAGTCCACAATCTTGTTGTGTCACAGCTAAATATAGGAGAAAGTTCTGAACCCAGAAGTCCCTCAGTCCCTGTGAGGATGTAGACATACTGATGTTTGATGGGAAGAAAACAGACACAAAGGGCTCCTGATGTGAAGGATATCCACACCCCGCTGACCTGAGCAAAGTGATCTTGATTTGATTCTTTTTCCACCCTCTCCACCCTCACTTCTGTCTTCCAGAAAAAGTTCACTCCTGTGACCAGGAGAGGCAGAGCGCCTTGGAGGAGGCCAGGCAGAACCCCCGGGAGGGTATCGTCATCCCCGAGTGCGCTCCTGGAGGACTTTACAAACCAGTGCAATGCCACCAGTCGACTGGGTACTGCTGGTGTGTCCTGGTGGACACGGGACGTCCCCTGCCTGGTACTTCCACACGGTGAGAGCTACAGGCAGGCCTGGGAAGGTGCCTGGCTGGAGAAGATGAGATATAAAAAATACTACTGCAATATGAAACCAGTTGCTCACTCTGGAGCAGTCAGCTCTACACTGCTTTCCCTAGAGCAAGCAGTGCTGTACACGATGTTCCCTGTTGAGTGTTACTATGCAGCTCCCTCACTGTAGGAGTTGGTGGATATTAACTAATGTCCATACTTTTCTCTGTGTTAAGTATTCATGCAAAGCAGCCTTTTTTTCTTCTGCCTTGCTTTTATGAAGTAAAAGGAATGGGGGCTTTGCTTAAGAGTATAGATTATGGGCATGAGCAGTGAAAAGACAAGTGTCTGTTGCATTATCATCTGCTTTATACTTCCATGTTGCAGCCACTTGAATCCTGACCAGCAGGGAATTAGAAGACTGCTTGTTGTGCATGGGTAGATTTTAAACCAGAGATAGATTTTTTTTTTCAGTCACTCTCTACCTTGAAACTACCTGAGGAATCTTTTCTCGCTTGGAGTTTGGAAACAAATTGTGGGTCTGGCAAGTTGCAAAAACAGGCCAGTAAGAGCTGGGACTTAAACTTGGCTAGATATAGTGATTCTGCAAAGCATGGATAGCTTTGAAAAAACATTTCAGCCTATACCCACAAGAATTGGAAGAGGGCCTTGTGCTGTTTTTGGGTTTCAGTTGATAGCTGGTCCTGGACTTCAAAGTAAGTTCTTTCTTTCTACTTCTTCCACTTCTGCTGCCGTTGCTGACTGTCTGTCCATAAACAGATGCTTGAGAGTGGTATTTCTCCTGGAGGTTTATTGGTTTCCCCTGCAGTGAGCAGACAAGGTACAAGCCATTGACCCTGAGATTAGCTCAGCTGGTCAAAGCATAGTGCTAATGATGGTCTGGTTGTGGATTTGATCCCTGTATAGGCCACTCACTTAAGAGCTGGACTCGATGATCCTTGCTGGTCCCTTCCAGCTCAGAACAGTCTGTGATTATTCACTGTGTGATGACACTAAAACTATGTTACATAGTTTAGCCTCTGCTGTTCTCCTTTTTCAGGTATGAGACCCCAGTGTGTGAAAGTGATGCCAGATCGAAGAGCACAGAGATTGATGATCCCTTCAAGGACAGGGAACTTCCAGGTTAGAGGACCAAGATCCTGTCTCTGCCTTCTTGCCTTGTCTCACCTTGGGCCTCTTAAGAGGCCAGGAATATTGTTGAGGAGCTAGGGGATTTTTCTCATAGAGCATGCTTTACCATAGGGTTTATTCTGTGGGTTTTTTTAAGATCACCTTCAGTTTCAGCAGTGAACTGGAAAAGGCTGGGTCTGTCCTGAGTATGTTTATTGCCTCTCTGCCCTTTGAAAACATTTCTGGGATTAGAATTTTCTGCAGAGAAACCAGGATGCCTGGAGATATCCTGGGGGAAGAATAGGCTCAACACTGAATGTTCCTTAAAGCCTGACCAGGACAAGATCCTTTCTGTTTAGCAGGGCTTTTCAGCAGCTTGATGCTCCCTGAGTCACAGAAGAGGACACAACTGCCAATTGTCAGTGGACTGATTTCCTCCCTTACAGTGACTGCATGGACCAGGCAGGACAACCCTCACGGTGTGCTAATGGTGGCTTCTCACTTAGCTGGACTTTATTCCTCCTTTTCTCCCTGGGATATGTTTTATTTCCTACTGCTCCTTGTTTTATATTCTGTTTTTCCCTCTTAACAGAGTGGCAAGCATAATTTGCTGTTTGATGACATTTTTTCTGCTAGGAACATGTGCTGGGCATTGGTGTCAGTGCATCTCTTAAAAATGCTATCCCACCTGCCTGTGCTCTGTGTTTTCCTTCTGGCTTCCTTCTAAGGAGCAGAGTGAGGGGCCTTCACTGACAGGTCAACCATTGCTCTCCTGGGTGGGGACTGCTTGAAAACACAAGCTACAGTGGATCCCTCTGCACCATGAGGGGGTAGTGGACACCACTAATTCTGCAGAAATAGCTGGTGACTCTGGATCAGCTTAACGTTCTGTGGGTAGCATAAAGCGAGTTGTTCCTGAGCAGGTTAGCAAAGGAAATGAGACTTGTTCCAGATCTGCTTTGTGTGTCTCCTAATTGTGGTCCTGCTGGCTCCTGACTTCAGACCCCAGACCTTTCTGCTTAGCAACTCTGCCCTCAGCAGGGCTCTCTTCTATGCAGCTCCTCATTTTCACAAGTCATGTAAAAATTTCCTATTGCTTCCCTTTCACATTCAAAGGAAATCAACCAATTGGTTCAAATATTATGTTGTGGGGTAGGGGGAGGGAAGCCAGCTAAATGGATTACATTAAGGCTCATTTCTTTAGGAAATCACACTAAAATGGAATAACCTTACATCCTTAATTCCACATCCCCCACTCCCATTACTTTACCATCTATCCTTGCACTTCTTCCCTGCCTCTTCAGAAATACTCTGCAAAAATCCTTTGCACTTTGACTTTTTCTTTGAGACTCTATTTCTGATCTCAGGAAGACAGATTGGTTTTGTTTCCCTTCTCCTTTTCCTTCTCCACTGAAGCCAGACAAGGGGACAGAAACTGCTTGAGCAGAAGAGGACACAGGATGCTCTGTGGCTTAGCAGTCTGGTCCCAATATCAAAGTCCAGGAGAGCTGCCCTCTCAGTTCAAGCCAGTTTTCTGCACCTGTATAAACTTCAAGCTCTGTTTGGCTGTACTGGTTGGTATGATTGTTGCCCAGAGATGTTTTAAGTGCCCCATCCCTGGAAGTGCTCAAGGCTGGATTGGATGGGATCCTGAGCAACCTGATCTAGTGAATGGCATCCCTGCCCCTAGCAGGAGGGTTGAAACTAGATGATCTTTAAGGTCCCTTTTAACCCTAGCCACATTCCATGATTCTGTGATTCCTATCACTGAAAATACCCCTGTCTATGGAGAGATGGGAGACAGAGGATCTGATCCTGGTTTTTCTGCCTGAGAAATGCTGTGCTGCATGAACTTCTTACGCAATCTTGAGGTTTGTTTGATTAGCTACTCTTGTATGCAAAAATTTACTGATGAGCCAGAACTGCAGGGGGTGAGAGAGAATGTTTCTTTTTCTTTTTTTTTTTTTTCCTGTTCTCATTTCTTAGCAGAACTGAATGTCAAGAAAAATTCCTTCTTTAATTTGAGACAGATTGCATCATTTGCACTCAGTTCTGTCAGGGGGACCCCTTACTTTATTCCTCTTGTAGAGGTTTGCCCATTCTTTAGACTCTCAGTGATGCAGGCAGTGAAGAGACCCTGCAGAGGCCCAGGTGGGAAAGACATAAGTTCAGATCCTTGCACACCTATACATACTCTCTTCACAATCTGTCATGGCTGTGGCCAAAAGTAAAAAAGAAAGAAAGAAGGAAAATGTTGCTTATACATAGCAAATGGCAAACTGCTAATTCCTGCAGATGGTGAGATGCTGGGAGCCCAGGGAGATGACTTCTAGCAAATAGTTCTTCAGCCTTTTCATTACCTCGACAAAAAGCTCCTTTAAGTGAGTGGTCTACTCCTGCTGCAATAGCAGCTTACCCATTACAATGCTGACATTTTCTGGAGCACATGCCAAGTGACTGCTGAGGGGTGTGTGTGTGTGCAGTGTACATAATACAGAGACAGGCTAGGGACTGTTGGTTAGCTATTGCAGAGGACAGAGCCTGTAATACTGCAAAGGAGGGACTTTTGTCAGATCAGTTTGCAAGCTGCTTTCAGCTGTCAAGGGATTACCGGAAGTTTCCGGTGCTCTGTTTGTGGTACATGTTCTTCTTTACTTGTTCAGGAAAAGCAGAAAGTGTTGACATTGCTCTATGTTGCTGTGGGAGGCTGTTTGCTGACCTAATCAGCTGAATAATTGGTAGTGCATGGTATTTTGGGGGCTTTGGGGAAAGAGGTGAGGGATATGGTGACGACCTCTCTGTCACATCAAGATAAGACAATTGGATGGCAGGTGATGGGTTTTGAGCAACAGTTTTTACAATAGTGTGTTGAAGTTAAGCACTCTTGTTCTTGGTTCCTTGTTCCTTACCTTGTTCCAGACTAGAACAGTTGTCACAGTGTTCATAGGGTAGTAAATGAAGCTTACTTAAAGCAGCAAGGAAACACCATAGATTGCCTTTTAAAGGTGAAGAGATGGAGAGTTTCACTGCAACAGGCTGCCACTGTTTAGGATAGAAGACTCTGTCAGTCCGTGGTTATGATGATGGGGAAATAGACAGCCTCAGCACTAAGTAATGGAAATGGTTACCAAACTCATTTTCAACCCACTTTTGTCCTGCTTAAGCCAGCAGTGACTGGAGGTGACTACCACATACCAGCTCAGTTTGACATATTTCCTATGTAGAATGGTCATGTGAAGAATGAGTTATTGTGGTAGGCGCTGGCAGGCAGTGCTTTCTGTGCCTGAAGAGGAGAGTGCAAGCAGCAGACCTTGCCTTGTGCTCTGGGATACTTTAATCTGTCAATTAGGGCCTCAGAACAGCCACATTTGCCTCAGAAGATGATCCAGGAGGTAATGAATTGTTTTGTAAACTTCTCTGTAAGTGTCACCATGGGAACTCCCGTCTGCCAGGCACTTCCAGCGCATCCCTGCGGTTTTGCTGGTAGAGAACTGGGTGAGACCGTAAAGCTAACCACACAGTCTTCCTGCCAGATATTGTTGATTACCCTGCATGTGCCTGGACAAAAGCTGCAGGACAAATTGCCACACAGAGAAACACACTGAGGGATTCTTCTGCCTTTCCTTAGGGACTGTGTTGATGGTTGTTGCTGTCTTAAAAACAAAGGAGGTTCTGACTGATCCTTGCTGAGTTGGGGTAAGAGACTAAGCCTGTGTGTTCTTGCATTAAAACTCCTCTTTTCTTTCTGCAGGCTGCCCAGAAGGGAAGAAAGTTGAATTTATTACCAGCTTACTTGATGCTCTGACTACAGACATGGTACAGGCTATTAACTCAGCAGCACCTACTGGGGGTGGGAGGTGAGTCCAGAAAGCATGGCTGAATGCCACCCAGATGGCTGCAGAGCTCTGGGTGCTCCTGAGGTGGGCGCAGGTGGGAAAGGTGTTGTTCTGACTGATTTGGGTTCCTCTGGGTTGCTGGGAGAGGATCTGAGTCTGCTTTGACCTGTCATCCTAGCTCTGCTTGCTTTCTCCCGCCCCTCCTCCCTGGCAGCTGCTCCACCATAAAGGTTAGTATAGCCCATTTGAAGTGTGAAATGAGAGCACAGTGGGAGGAAGTGGCTTGTTCTTTTGTCCCTTGGTGCATGAAAAGACCTAATAAAATGCAAATGGATTGAAGGAGACCGTGTGGCCTAGTGGCTACCACGGGGAGGGAAGAATGTGAACCAAATTCTTGGCAGCACCAGCGCTGTGGCTTTGCTGTGAGGCTGCAGCCAGCCTGCCGATGAGGAGAGGAGCTGTTTTCCATGGCCCTCCCCTCTGACCAGCTGCCACCCCTTTTGGAAGGAGCAACAGGTCAGGCCTGTTGCAAGAGGTGGGCAGAAGTCTGTGTTCCTGGGGAACTGGAGGAAAGATGAGGCTGTGTCTCCCCCTCCTGCTTGATAACAGCAGATCCCTGCAGCGTTGCCTTGGGACAGACCACTTTGAACGAACCCTGATGGATTTAAAAAGTGCCACACTGCCTCAGCTAGGCAAGGCTCCTGTGGGTCTGGACTTGCCTGATATAAAAGGAGTCAGTGCTGGGGCAGCTGCAGGGATGGCACAATGACTGATGTGCCCAGGGTCTGGAGATGGAAGTGCCTCTGCACAAATGTTACTGCTATGGGTATTCCTCCAATGTGTTGACAGTAATGTTGATCCCCTGCTTTCCTCTTTCATAATGGAGAAGGAATCAGTGCCATCTTTTATCTACTCAAGACTATTCAAGGTCCTGGGTGGCATGGCTGTGTCCCTTGGCTTCAGGATGGACTAAAAGAGAATTCATATGGTTTTAACTTCACATTTAGACCTTACAAATCAGGCCAGTGACTTCTGTGTGTGCCCGCATGCTGAATATTCTGTAACCCGTTGAATTAGTGCTGTATGCCTAACATGTCTGTATTCATATAAACAGGATGAAAAATGCCCCAAGGATGGGAAATACATCGTTCTCTCCCAGACTTAGGCATTCCAATGTCAATTCTGTCTAATTTGCATGGTTTAAATGCACCGGGTAGGGGTGGTAAGAAGCCCTGGAGAGTATTTGATATTTATTTGGCATCTTTGGCACTGGGACTGAAACACAGCCAATGTAATCATCACTCTTAAAATAAAGCATAATATAAACCAATGTTGTAGAGACCAGAGATGTATGCCCCCACTGCGCTTCTATAAACCAGCAGGCTTGCTTCCTAATGTTCCCCAGGCTTTGTGTATTTCTCAGCTTTCAATAGAGGCCTTTCTGGTGGAATTTTTCACTGCCCAGCTCTTCACACAGTCATCACATTGATTTATTTTCCACTCCAATGTCAGCAGCCCGGTTGTAAGGGGGGAAAATTAAATCTTTTCGCAGGCTGTCCTTGGTATGGCAAAAGACTGCTACCACCCAAATACTCTGCCTGCCCACAGCCATGATTAAATTCAGATAACTGCTCTGGTTTAATTTTCCATGTGCCTCAGCTAGACTACGCATGTACCCCAAAGAACATGTGTCAAGCTTTTCCAACCCAACAGGTCATGATGGGACCATTTTTATTTTTTTAAAAAAGTACTTTCAGGGAATTTTTGATATTTATATTTAAAAAAAATTATCAGTACATATTCCATATGGGTTTGTGGAGTTGGGAAGCTGTCTCTATGCAGTGAGTCCTGCTTTTCAAGAGTCTCAAGGTGAGGAATATCCTGAGTTCTCTCTTCAGGAATTGGCTTCTGATGGTGTGACCAGGTGTATTCTTTGCTGGGTAAAAAATGGCTGGACCCAGAGAGTGGCTGGTGGCCAGTCACAAGTGGTGTTCCCCAGGGCTCAGTGTTGGAGCCAGCCCTGTGTAATATCATCTTCAACAGCCTGGACAAGGGGATTGAGTGCCCCCTTATCCCATCGTGCTGTGTGGGAGTGTTGACCTGCAGAAGGGCAAGAAGGATCTGGACAGGCTGGATCCATGGGCCAAGGCCATTGTATGAGGTTCAGCAAAGGGAAGTGACAGGTCCTGCACTTGGGTCACAACAGCCCCATGCAGCACTACAGGATGGGGATGAGTGACTGGAAAGCTGCCTGGCCGAAAAGGGCCTGAGAGAGCTGGTCTGCAGCAGCTGAACATGGGCCAGAGTGTGCCCAGTACATAGAGGCATACAGTACACATCTTTGGTATCAACATTAAAATAAAGGACCAAAGGAAGAGAAGAGCCTTTCCAAAGTGTCCAGGACAAAAAAGCTTAACAGTGAGAGTCTTAAGGAGTTCAGACTTCCTTAGGGTATTGAAAGACAAAAAAGTTGGAAGTTCATTTTGTAAAATCTGAGTATCTCTATAGGGACAAAGGCTCTGCAGGCTCTTAAGTCTAGCAGGGAAGAACATGATTAACTGAATATAAACAAACTTGTGAGCGAAATTTCTTTAAAGAGAGGGCAGTTCTAAGCCAGAGTGAAGTCATGAGGGACGTGACTGATTCCCACTGTCTAACGCTTTCATCTTAGGCCTGATGTGTTTCAGAAGGACTTGCTTTAGTCAAACCTGAGTTATGGTCCCAAGAATAATTTGATTCACATTCTGTGACTATGATATACAGGAAACCAGATTAGATTACTCTCCTGCCTTCAGTCTGAATTTGGATATGTGAGTGAAAACTTATGTGTTTGCCGAGTGTCTTTGCAATTAATATCCATATTAGCTTTTGGGGTTTGTTTTGGGAGGGGGGCAGGGGGAGGAGGAGGGAGTGGGGGGTGATGAGGGAGAAGCATGGGAAGAAATCAGAGATTGGCATTTGAAATACTACATAGAGCTGTGCTAAGTAGCCCCCATAGACAATGTAGTAGCAGCAAAGTGAGGCGGTAGCTTGGATTCTTGCAGGCCATGTAAGCAAAACCTGATGGGACTCTTTTTTTTTAAACTGGGCATGCTTAAAACAACCTTGTAATCCCTTATAGGTCTTGTCTTGTTTAAGGAAGTTCAAAGCTATTGACTTTAATTGAGTTACTCTTGCTTTACAATAATGTAAATAATGTAAATGAGATGAGAACTTCCCTTCCTCATGGCCCTGGTTTATATTACCGCATAATAGCCAAATAGACTTCATTTATAGTTTTGAAACAGAAAATCTCTGGTAAAATTCATTCTTAATTTTAAGTTTATGTTATAACTTCAATACACATCTTGTTACTGTATGTTTTCAAAGTAATTAAGGGAGCACTTGTAGAGAATTGGTTTATTAGCGAGTACATTGTATCCTTTCTGAAAAAAAATCCTTGTTGAAATTTTTCACAAGTGAGTACTATATAATCGGAACAGCACTTAAAAATTTAGACTTAGCTTTAGTACAGTTTAGTCTCTTTTCTAATTCTGATATAGTCATATTTCAGAGGGCCTAAACTAAACTAGATCATAGGGAATTGCAGCCTGAGTTTCTGTTATCTGAGAAATTCTCTTTGGTCCCTGCCAATTCAGAAATGAGTTTTAGTTGCCAAAATTTGTGCATTATGGCTTGCTACATTATCAGCAAAAATATTGCTGCCCTGTGGAATTTGAGGTAAATGGGCAGCTTACAGCAGCCACCCTTATAATGTAAAACAGCAACTATTAGTCCCTTAATTTAAAGTTGCCACTTATTCCCCATGTAATAGCCCCAAAAAGTACTCCAGAAAATGGCCCTGAGGTTCCATTTCATGCTCTAGTTGAGCAGTTTGAAGCAAGCAAGCACAGTTCAGCACATCTCCAGGGTGTTCTGAAGCCAATCCACGTTTTAATAAAGACTGACACTTTTAAACAGTGCAGGGAAGTTGATGCTCAACTCCTATTGCATTTCAATTGAAGTTGGATACCAACTTCCCTTTGTCCTCTTATGGAAATTCTAGCCTAATTAAAGATACGGGAGAGTTCATGTAAGAGGAGGGTCTTTGAACAGTCAGTGAGGAATGAAGGGAGGCGATTTTTTAACCTTCTAAATTATTTATCCTACAATCTTCAGAAAAATTGTGTTCAGAATAATGTTTCATGTACAACTTAGCCTGAAGAGAGAAAGAAACTGGCCTGTAATAGGGGAGATAGCTTTTAACTGTAGAGGAATGATGCATTTCCCATAATTAATTTGGACTGGGTAGTACCCTTTTGTTTAGTCTGAACACAGCTTAGTTTTTTGTTGGCTTCTTGATTCCTTGGCTACAGGAAAGGAGGAATAATAAAACAAATACAGGATCCTTTTGCAATTCTGTTATAATAATCCTCTCTGATTCAAACCATGTTCCACTGTTACAGATTTTAACTTTAGGCAACTGCAAAGAACAACAAAATGGGAGTAAGAACTGGAAGCAGGGCAAGATAAGTTTTGAATTTTACCTCAGTTTGTTAAACTCGTTGCTTTCTACTGCTTAGTGCTGGCACTTTGGTGGTCTCCATCTGTGCTGTCACAGGCGTTGGCTGGAATGGTCAGTCACTCTCCATCCATTCTTCATTCAGCAGCAGCACCAAGCAGGGTATATATATCCTTGCAAAATATTTAAAAGTCTTATAAACTTACCACTCTAAGTAAGACCACAAACATACCTTGTGCGTATGTTGGGAATGAAAGCTGAACTAATTAATTTTTTCACTCTATAGCATTTGCTACCAGCTTCTTGTCCATCAGTGTTCTTCCATCCTGGAGTAGGTCCCTCTGGTTTATAGGCTCTGCAGTCCAGCTAGGTGATGGGCTGATCTTACTGCCCTTATGTCTTTCTGCCTCGGCTGCTGATGTTGCTACATAAAGTGTGTAGTACAAAAGAATAGATTTTCTAAGTCTTCAAACAGGTACCTGATGGGTACTTCAGAGATTGCAGCCTGTGCAGTGGGGCTGAAAGTGTTCAGGGAGCAAAGGACCAGCTTTGGTAGGAATGGACTTCAATTTATTTAGTAAAATGTCATGGCACATACTACCCTTTGACTGCACAGTTCTGTGGAGCATAATGTAATTGCACACTCTACATGGCTCTTTAGGGGAGTCATGTCTCACATTTGCTGCTCTTGTATTCTTCAGCCTATATTCCTCCCCTATTTCCCTGCTTCTTCACACTGAGCTCACTGCTCCTTTCTCACAAGGGCCTCGAGGACTGAAAAGCATTACAGATTGCATGCACAGTGCATATTCAAGCTGCCTATTTGATATTTCGGCAGTCATTCTCTGATCCAGCATTCAGTGCAGCTTACAAAAGTGTATGTCCATGGTTTTGCCCAGCCTCTTTGTGTTCTTCAGCGACACCAGATGATGTGAAGGTACTCTGTGGAAGTATGCCTCATCTGGAAGATAGCATTGTTAGAAGTTGCTGTACCTTAACACATGTACCTCCAAGCATAAGCCACCTAAGAAATGAATGTTCTGCTGTGAGGGAGCTCTTAGAACATTATACAGAAGGAGGAGCAAGAGCCTACTTGGAGAAGACTGTATACTTGATGCCAACAAACTTTTAAGAAAGCTGTTTTGCTGTCTTAGGCTGTTAATGACAGACATGCTTTTCTTCACTGTTGGAATATTGCTGGGCTTGTGCTGCTTAATTGAGCTAAACTTGCTGGCTTTTGTACAAAAGCAGTCCAGCAACAGCAGGTTACATTTGGAAAATCAGTTTACACAGACCTCCTTTCTTCACTAGTGCTCATTCTTTAGGACTGACTGTTTTGCCACAGAGTGCTAAAGAGGAACAATTAGGCAGAAAAGTAAGTACAGCTGTAATGCAGTCAACATGAGAAGGCTGTCTTCATTTTAGTGATTCTTACTGTGTCTTACAAAGCTGCTACAGCACCAAAGCCAGGTACTGGAATTCAATGGGTTTTAGTGTGATTGGTGTTGGAGCAACAGATGTTGGAAATTGAGAATGTACAGGACAGCTTTGTTCTGTCTTGATTTTTCTGATTCCTTTATGGTCTGAATGAGAGGTAGCCCAATAAATGAAGTTTATATGTGAGGGCTGATTTACTTCTCTTGAAATAGTATGAGGAGGAAATGGAGGGACAATCCCCTGGAATACTGCCAAGTCTGTCCTCACAGGGTGAATGGAGCCCCAGACCTGTCTGAGCTTATCCCGCAGGCAAGGCTGCTGCCATGGCACATCAGCAAAGCTAGGTGGCCTAGCAGTGCTGTGTAGTTGCATTAATTCATGCAATTCATTGCATTTCATGGGTGGTGCCTAAGCGCCTTTCACGGGCAGCAGTCAAAGTCAAGGTAGTTAAATACAGTACTGTAACTTCATCCTTCTGTAGTGTATCATGGAATTTCATGAGCCAGGGATATATGGCCACACTGAGATGATGGGGATGCTTCCTGTGCTGGGATTCTGGATGATAACCAGAGATGGCAGGCAACCAACCATCTCAGGAACTGCAGTCCTGCTAAGCCAGCCAACAGAAAGTGGTAAAAACTCAGAAATGGCTGTATCTTCCTTTTTCCTAAAGTCATAGCCATTAAACTAATTCCTTTTAGCTCCATTAGCATGCTGCAGTTTTCAGCATGAGCTCTCAGCTTGTTTGTAATGGCAAAGATTGATTTATTGTCACCTCATGAGTCAATGTATTTGTATTAGCCTGTGAATGTCCCTCATTTTCTTTGTGGAAGTGCTGAAGAGAGCCATGTTGCCTTTCTTCATAACTCACAAAAGCTCCTCCTTGGTGTGGCCCTGGAAAAGAGGTACTTTAAAATCCTGCTTCTGAGTGCCTCTTCAGTAGGTAGTGAAAAGCTCTTGTCTGTTGTCTTTCTGCTGTTGGTTCTAAGATGCTCTGTTATTTTCTCCAGTTCTACCTCTCCAGTTGTGGTCCTTCAGTAAATGAGGGCAGGCCAAGGTGTGAACAAGGGCAATCTCACATGCAAAAGCTCAGGTTTTATTCTTCTATCTCAGCAAAGGCAGAGTATTGCTCCTGGCAATACAGAACTCCTCTGAGGCTGTTGGAAACATGCTAGTCTTCAAATGACAGCCAGCTTCTTTCCAAAAGGGAGAGAGATCAATAGCTATGTTAATAAATGTCAAAAAAACAAGACACAGATGTGTTTCTGTTCTCTCCTGTCATCCTGGTCAGTGCATACAGTTTAGAAAATCAGAACACTTCCTTAACTTCTGGGCTGGGGGGGAGGTGTGTGGGGGGGAATTTTGCAATTTTTCCTTGTCTATAGGTGATTCCTGGTGCTTGCCTGATATTTTGGTTCCCCAAACTAAACCAGACTTATTCCTAACCCCTTCTTCCTCCTGCATGGTGTTTATCCCATTGTACATTCACCAGATGCTGGGACTGAATGCCAGCCTGCCTCTTAGTTAAGAAATAAATGAAGGAAATAGTTTCAAGTAAAACCCTGGGAAAAATGTTACACAGTTTATCTGTCTCTCTGTACTCTGTGTGTTTTCTTGTTACAAGGATTGATGTATCTCTGGATAGGGGCTACCTTTGTAATTTATATCCTTATTTGTAAAAGCCATCAGAAAAGGTTAATGAGGATCTCAGTTTCCACTTAAATTCCAGTTCTTGCTTTCTGCATGCTGCAGAGTCCTCCTCACAAATAATTTAATTTACCATAGGGGTAGCATGTGTGAGGGGGTATTTTTCAGGCTTTGTAGCTGCATTTTAAAGGCAAAACTTGTCACACCAGAAAGTCAAAATAATTTTCTCTCTCCTAGTTCCCAACAAAAAAAACTTCAGTGACCATATACGTATAGATTCTACTAGTTCCTGAAACAAAGTCAACAGCAGTCTTGGAGAAAATTTTATAGGATACTTGGGTTCTTATTTCTGCATCAGCTAGAATGCCCCAACCTCACACCAGAATCTGGCTGCCTGCAGCAGGCAACTGTTCCTCTCTCCTTCCTGGGGAAGGAATTTATGCAGCAGCTGGATATGTCTCCTGGAATAAGTCAGAGCAATCAGTGCCAATGTAGCATGTTTGACTACCTATCCACTAATTTCCGTGCACTAATATGCTTTATTCTTGGAAGGAAAAAAGGTTCAGACCTCAGCCTCATTTCAGCATCTTTTCAGCTTTCTCTGTTGGCGTACTCATCACATGGAGAAAAGACAGACTAGCTTACAAAGTTTCTTTCCTGGTTCTCAGAATCCCTGAGGGATAACCCCCTTTCCCACTGCTGCTGCAAAGCACCAGACACTGCTTCAGTGGTATGACCTAACAGTACCTGTTCGGTGATGGCATCATGTTGAAAGGCAGCATTCTGTATTTGTGTGTCTATAGCTGTTGCTCCTCCTCTTTTTTTTTCTTCTTTTCCTCTCTGATATTGTTGTTGTCTACAGAAGGAAAATGTGAGTCAAATAGCATCAAACTTGTAATGCCACAATGATTAACAAATGAAACAAACTGAAGTTGCCAGCTCTGTAGTACTGCTTTTAATGCATTTGTGCTTTTTATCTTCTGTGGAACTCTTGTGTGTAAATCAGGTGTGTGAAAAGCATGAAGAATGCAGAAAATATAGCAGAGGAGTCCAGATTATGTAAACAGATACAGGGAGAAGAATATTGTGTCTTGCCAAGGACATTTTCAAATAATGAATGTGTCTTGCATTAAATTAATTTGTTCCCTTTCTGAAGTCTAGATGTTACTGTCACAGAAACTACCATGACAGCTGACACTCATGGCTCTCTTGCTGGTGATTCGAATGGGAGCACAAGGGCCAAAAAGCCCAAGGAGATTGTCTCTTGCCCTCTAATGAGGATCATTCTGGGATTAGGCAGTTTCAGCAACTGGTGTGAGGAGAACCACAGCTACTAATGGTATCAGACTCCAAGATTGTCTTGGCAGTTCACTTGTTAATGCTAAAGGACATTTTTAGAAAAAGTTCATCTGTCTCAAAAGAGCCCAGCTAAAAGGAGGAGATTGGAAGACCTGTGTTTTTTGCTTACTTTGAACACGGCATGGCACCTGTCTTATTCAATGAGCAGCTCTTGCTCCTCAGCATGTGCTTGACCGTGTTGGTGAGAGCACCCCCTTGTCGGGGCCCTGTGCTTCCTCTGTTCCAGGTTCTCTGAGCCAGACCCCAGCCACACACTAGAGGAGCGAGTGGTACACTGGTATTTCAGCCAGCTGGACAACAACAGCAGCAATGACATCAACAAGCGGGAGCTAAAGCCTTTCAAGCGTTATGTGAAGAAGAAAGCCAAGCCCAAGAAATGTGCCCGGCGTTTCACTGACTACTGTGACCTCAACAAGGACAAGTCCATCTCGCTTCAGGAGCTGAAAGGGTGTTTGGGAGTCAGCAAGGAAGGAGGTGGGTGCCTTTTCTTCCTCATTGCATGACAGTAAAAACTGACAAACAAACCTAACAAATAAAAACTGAGTTACAGCAAATTCAGGAATCCATTTTCTCCCAGCTGTTTCAATCAAAAGTGCCACAGTTTTTGTGAGCAAATGAGTGGGATTAGCATACTGCCATGCAAATGTAGTTTGTTACTTGTGTTATGGCTCCATCTCCTATGCCGTATCACAGACCTCTGTGATAAGCACTATACAGAAACAGGACAACAGATAAGAGTTCTTGGCCAGTCTCATTCCTAACTTAGTCTGCTTGTACTGTTGATATCCCTGGAAACTGTAGTTAAGATCAGGTCCCCTCTGAGCAATACCCTGCTAACAAGATTCGGTTGTCTCAGCCATGCAGGTTGGATGATGTATGAGCCAGCACAGACCCAGTCCTTCTCTGGAGACCCTGTTTACTAACAGAAATAATCTTTATTTTCATTGCTAAATTCAGAATGCAGGAGAGTGGATGATGCAAAGAGAACAGCTCTTTGCAGCAAGCACAGGGCTGTACTGTTGCCCCTTTTCAAACTTAAATTGTACTTTGAGATTGGTAGAGAAATAACGCATGTGACTACCCTGTTTTTCTTTCTGTTTAGTGTCTGAGCAATCAACCCACCCTCCTGCCTTTTCTTCCTTTTTTCATCTTCACCTCATCATCTGTTGGGACCCGAACCAAACTGATATTTTTGGAAATTTTAGGAATTGAAACAGTTCAACCCAAATTCAATAATTATCAGTCATTCTTGACTGTGGGCAGACTTGCTTGGCAGGAGAAGGCAAACAGGGAGATTCCAGGGGACTAATTTCCTGTGCAGGTGTTTTGGCTTTGCAGCTGTTGTTATATGTGTCACAGTAGTTGGGAAGGGTGGATAGCTTTTTTTTTCTCCCATCTTAATCTTTCCTTAGTTCTTTTCTCAAGTTAAGCACGAGTGGGAAGGGAGTTGGTACATTTGGGTGCTGGGAAGTTGCACTTTCTAGGTGCTCTGCAAACATCTTAGTTACCATAATAAGCATATAGCATTACTTGTCAGCTGTGAGAAGCATTCAGCTTCCCTAGCCTTGTGGAGGTGTTTTTTTAGTCATCAGTACCTTACTGAGGAATGACATACCAAAATAGCAATCCTTAATTTTATTGCCTTCCCAATAAGACGAATATGCCAAATGAATTTTATTGCTATTTGGCCTGGAATAAGACTCTCTGGAATCTGCTGCCCTGGCGAACTGAATGTTCAAAATTTAGTTTATGGAAGGGGAAAAAATCAAAGGGAGAGAAGAAAGAAAATGTGAAACTTTGAGCCCATGTGAAGGGGGGAGAGAAGGCAGCATGACATTGTTGTGAGTGCCTGATTGTCCAGCTGTTTGCTGAGAACACATCCTTGACCTTTCATGGTTTCTTCTGTTGTATGAGGACAGGACTGTGGTCAAAAAAGGGACTCTGATCTTATTCTGTCATTCAGCTTCACATACCTACTACAAACCTGATAAGCCTTGAGGACCAAAGATAAAGGGATAAGTTAAAGGATGGTGAGCACTAAAAAGCCGGGCAGGGGGCAGTGCAGACAGCAGGTACTAACATTGAATAAAGAACTGAGTGAGAGTGCTCTAGAGGTGCAGTAAACAAGTTTGTAATGCATCTTTTCTATGAATTCACAAAGTTGTGAGGTGGTAGATGGCATGTTTTCTATGCTTCCTATTCAGAAGAACTGCTTAATTTAGAGTCAGTATCTTTGCCTTTGACATGGTCCTCCCCAAATCCTCTCTAAACCAGAGATAGATGGTTGGGTTGTTGGGTGGATAAGGAATTGGTTGGATGGTCACACCCAGAGGGTGGAGGTCAACAGCTCAGAGTCCTGATGGACATCAGGGACAAATGGTGTCCCTTGGGATTTATACTGGACCAGTGTTATTTAATATCTTCATTTATGACATAGTGGGATTGAGTGCACCCTCAGCAAATTAGCAGATGACACCAAGCTGAGTGGTGCAGTTGCCATGCCTGAATGATGGGATGCCATCCAGAAGGATGTGGACAAGCTCAGGAAGTGGGAGTGGGAATCTCATAAGGTTTAAGACAACCAAGGTGCTACATCTGGTTAAGGGCAATCCCTAATATCAACACAGGCTATGGATGAACAGATTTGAGCACCCCTGCCCAGAGGAACTTGGGGGTGCTGCTGGCTGAGAGGCTGAACATGACCCAGCCATGGGCACTCCCAGCCCAGAGAGCCAAACGTGTCCTTGGCTGCATCCAGAGCAGCGTGGGCAGCAGGGGAGGGAGGGGATTCTGCCCCTCTGCTCTGCTCTGCTGAGAGCCCACTGCAGGGCTGCATCAGCTCTGGGGTGCCAGCACAGGAAGGACATGGAGCTGCTGGAGTGACTCCAGAGGAGGCCACCAAGATGATTGGAGGGTCAGAGCATCTCTGCTGTGAGGAAAGGCTGAGAGAACTGGGATTGTTCACCCTGTAAGACAAGGCTTGGGGTGACCTAACTGTGGCCTTCCAGTACCTGAAGGGAACCTATAAGAAAGAGGGAGAGGGACTTTTTACAACAGCACAGAGTGACAGGACAGAGGGAAATAACTTCAAACAAAAATGGAGTAAAGTTAGCTTAGGTGTGAGAAAAAAATTCTTTACTGTGAGGGTGGCGAGAGCTGGAACAGGTTGCCCAGAGAAGCTGTGGATGCCTCATTACTGGAAGTGTTCAAGGCCAGGTTGGATGGGGCTCTAAGTCTGGTTTAGTGAAAAGTGTCCTTGCCCATGTCAGGGGGGTTGGAACAAGATTAACTTTAAGGTGCCTTCCAACCCAAACCATTCTATGATTCTGCCTTCTTACCCTTACTCTAACTTCCCTTTATCTGGATCATAGGTGCATGTAGTCAGTCCCTGTATTTTGATGTCTGTTTCTTTCTCTGTACCATGGCCTCCGAAGATCTGCTGGGGCTGAGGTCACTGTGGGTTCAGGCCAAGAGCTAGCTGGAAATCTTTTTAATGATGCACTTTCAGCTGTAAACTGCTAGTCAGATGAAGACAGAACTTTTCATAGAAATGTTTCTGTTTCAACAAAAGCTTTCTTTGCAAGGTTCTTCTGGTCTAGCTTGGATGAGGAGGGGTTGGAGGGAGGCAAGGAAGGTTATAATTTCCCCTTGATATACTTCATTACAAATGAACTTAGCTCAGATCTTCCAAATCCTGTTTGGGTGTCCAGTAGCATAAGGACTAAACTGAAGTGGGTCATAATTCCAGGTGAGTATGCCTCTTCCTAGGCAAATTGAACATTTGTAATAATTTTGAAAATAAAATCTAATACAAATTTTGTAGTATTTGGGATTCTGAAGAAAACAGATATTAATAACAGATGTTAAAAATGTGTTCTGCATTTTTGTCAGTGTTTTGCTTTGCTTTTTTTTTTTTGGTGGCCAGTTCCATCCAAACGTGGAAATAGAGCTGCTTAAAGGAAGCATAGAGCAGAGATAACACACAACTGTTATGTGCTTCTCAGGATCTCAAGAGTCCAGATAAGATTTATGTGTGGGGATTCAGCTGGGATATTTGTAAGGACATACTTGAAACTGAGCTCTTTCCAGCTTAGAATTAAATCTGTTCAAGATACATAATTGTGTCTGTCTTCCCTTCCTCAGCAGTCTCTTCATGCCTGTGGTTACCTAATATGTGGGTACTGCCAACCAGTGGTTCTCCAGTGAGGAAGTTCGCTGCCCAGTCTATCAGAAACCCTTCCCTTTTCCATCCTTATGGGGACCCAAAAAGCTGCTGGCAAATCTGCTAGGTTTGGTGGCCACTTTGCACAGCTCTTGTCCCTCTGCTTAAACCAGAATTGTTTTTATCAGAGGCTATTTACATGGAAAAATGCCATTCTTGGATCTCAGAATGGTGTGGCCACATAAAAGAGTCAGCCTTTGAGTGTTTGCAGAAGCCTGCAAATGGCTTCTTAAACTGGGGCAGAGCAGGTAGGCAGGGCTTTCAGCTTGGAGTATGCCAGAAACAGTCTTTGCCATCACTTGATCTAAGATTGTCTGTTTGAGGAATTGTGGAAGGAAAGCAGACTGATTTACAGCCTGTTAAAAGTTAGCATTCCTCAGCGTAGTCTGCAGAGCCTGAGTTAAGGGGGGAACCATCTGTGATCAAAGAACAAATGCAGAGAGAGTATCTCTCTGCATTAGTCGAAAGACAGGATCCTTGAGAGGAGATAGACACACATCGTAAAGCTTTGCTGGAAAGCTACTGGACCTGAGATTAATTGGAGTCCAGTGATGCTGGAGAGGAGGGCTGTAGATCTGACTGAGGCTTGTGCTAGTTGTGCTGGCTGCAAAATGTTGGAGTTGAGTTTTACCTCTATATTCTTCCAAGTTCAAGAGACAAAGTCAGCATTTTGTGCCTGCCCAAAGAGGAGCTAAGGGAATAAGCAGCAAAGAAACGTCCCTCTGCCAGCTGACGGGAAGTTCCCTTCTGCCAGCTCAGATCCTGTGATTGCTTTGCTATCCAAGAGCTTGTCAGATGGTTGGTGTTGGGCGCGCTTCACAGGACATGAGGACATCTGAGGTGGAACCCAGCCACCAAGAGCCAGTCCAGAAACGGGATCGAAATATCTTAATTAAAAAGTGTATGTGTGTGTAATTAAACAGAATGTCACTTTCTACTGAATCTGAGGAAATGTTACAGAAAGAACAAAAGTAGACAGGCAATCTGAACAGCAGATTTCATTCAGTGATGTTTTGTACCTTTCTTATTGCTATCTTCAGAAGTAACTGCATGCTTGGGAGGCTGGGAATGAGTTGCTCTATATCATTACTGTACAAGTCGTTGTGTGAGAGAAGGTAGCAAAAAGCAGTCACCTGGGAAAGGCCTCTGTACCAGTGATGATAGAAAATAACAATTTGAGTGGCCATGAGAAAACTGTAACCAGGTAATGACTGAATTAAAAAGAAATTTCAAAGTACGTTTATGTGCTATTAGATTAGATTTAAAGGAGGTTCAGTGCTTGGTTTTGTTTGTCTTGTTAAGATACTCCCCTTTGGAGCTTTATAGAGGTGCTATAATTTGCCTTTAATCTTGACAAAAGTAAGTGATAATATGAATCAGGACATCAGTATTGTGTTGAGAACACAAGATAAGGCTGTTTCTCTCCCCAAAAGGTGAAAGGTTTGCTCTGTATGTCTGAAGAATAATGATTTCCTATTAAAAGCTGCTGGGGTTTCCTTGGGGCTTTTTCTTTTGAAAGACACCTGGCCTAATCCAGTGTGACTAGAACTGTTATCCAAGAGAGAGTAATTGTGAGGATGAGCAAATACTCAGCATTTATGAAACTTGCCAAATGAGGGGATGTCACCCCACAATGCCCAAGGGCTTCCCAGCTGTATGCTAGTAACCCACGGTCACCGCCTGCCCTATTCCTTCCTCTCCTTTGCGGTGTTGTTGTGGCAGGGTTTTGCCTTCGACAGGTACCCGTGGCTGGCCTGGTTTGTAGGGCCGGCAGGCAGCTGAGGGCGGTGCTGTCTGCCCCCAGAGCAGCAGGGGATGAGCCCCAGCGCGTTTCCCACACGGCTTCACGGGCCATGTGCTCGAGCACACCGGCCGTGGCACGGAGGGATGCTCCTGCCTTCTGAACACACCGGCCTGGAGCTGCCCGCCCCTCTCCAAAGACAGGCAGTGCTCACTCAGCTCTTTCCAAGGATGGGTTGTGCTCTTGCACAGCACTGTGCTGCAGGCTTACCTGCACTGTGTGGTAAAGGTGAGAGGGTTCTTTCGGATGCCCTCTGGCTTCCCCAGGCTGCCAGCCAGGGCACTGATGCCCTGCGGGGCCCTGGCAGCCTCCCATGAAGGGCCCAGGCTGTGAGTGCCAGTCAGGCCAGGCAGATCCTCTGGCCTGGCAGTGGAGCCTTTGCCCATGGCAGCAGAGCAGCGTTTGACACCAGGCATCAGCGAGCCGCGGTTCTGCTGATCCCGGCAGGGCAGGTGGCTGCTACTGGGTGTTCGGGGCCTTGGAATAACCTCCTGTGCTTACACAGTTTCTTATTAATGTTCTCTAAAGCCAACAGGCTGTGCTTTGTGACCCATTTCAGCCTTGGCCACTGACACCTTTTTCCCTCTGGCTTTTTCTTCTCAGCAGCTCTATTCCTATTGTACAGCCCAGCCTCCTGGCCCCTGGGGCTTCCTACACCTCGGCCCTGCCCTCTGAGCTTCTGCCCATCTTGTTCCTGCACAGAGCAGCATGTGCAGTGGAGTACTTGATGTGCAGAGTGAGCTGTGCAGTCAGGCCATGTGCATGCACAAATCAAAGTCATGGAGTGGAGGATGGCAACTGCTGCTGGCTGGGAGCAGGAGCTCCCATTTTCAGCTAAGCCCTCCTCTGACATCAGACAAAGCAGGGAGTGTGACATGCTTTCGACAGCTCCTGTAATCCCGGAGCTGGCCGTACCCAGTGCAGAGGCCCTTGCCATGAGCTCCATCTGGTGTAGGGTACATGTGCCTGTTATCTCATGACACAGTCACAGCTCTGCCCTTCTGCCAGGTATAAGTTCAGGTCTTTGATTTTAGGCACTTGTTTATTTGAATCAAGTGAAAGATTTAATAAACCTGGGCTGTCTGTATTGCCTGTACCTTCACTCTCTTCTCGCTTCCCTCTTTCTATGTGCCGTTATTTTGCTTGCTTGGGAAAACTTCAGGATACTACTTGCATCCTTCCTTTCTTCTTTTTCCTTCCACTCCTCAGTTTAACCTTGTAATTGTTGTTTCTTGCCCACACAAAACCTCTGGATTTCATGATAGCTACTACACCACCAGGTGTTTAACATCTCTCATCTCAGGCACACTGGTTAGACTCTTGCATGTGAATCCTGTTGGCAGGACTTGCTGTGAGCATGCTCAGAGTGGGTGCTTTGAACATGCCCTCTGGCAACAGACAAGGGAAGGCTCCTTTGTCATGCCATGGCATTTACTTCCTCTAATGTGGTTCTTGGATTTTACAGGTAGCCTGAGCAGTTTGCCCAATGGAAAAAGACAAGGCCTTAACCCTTTCAGTGAGTATCTTGTCAAAATGTTTTATTTTTTCCTGTGATAAACATGTATTGCAGAATTCATTCTCCCCTGTTCTCCTATGTTCATGAACAACAATATAGAAACAGCTGGAAACAAAAGTTGTTCTTAAGAGGTATAAATACACCAGTGTGCAGCTCCATTGCATCATTTTAAAGTCCAGCTCTACGTCTTTTGCTGGAACAGACTACATGTGGCTAAGGAATTAGAATGGGATAAAGCAGCTGTGGGATGACTCCTATCCTACTCTTCCTTCTTCTCTCAAGCAGTAATTTAGGTGATTTGTTGTGTTTACATCCATTACTCCACGGACAAATTCCCATGAAGACTGTTCTCTGTCATGGTAAAGGTCTGCTCTCCCCTGTATTTTGGGCATTGAATCACATGGACCCTTTCATCAGGCACGAACAATAACATCATTTGTTTTGCTTTTAGACTTGCTGCCTCATGGTTTTGTTGGGTACTTCTCATTTTGGACTGTAAGAAGCAGTGAGAAGTTTTCCCCTGCCTACATCTTCTGCCATTTGTTCTATAGCTGTCCTACATATGTCTGGCTAGGCTCCTTTTTGTGTTGAGGAGACCCAGGCTGTGTATTTGTTTAATGCCAGAAGTCTTCCTATACCTCTTGCTATGTTCCTTGTCTTTCTGGGGAATGTATTGTCTGGTCCTGGTGAGATGGGCTGAACAGAGAACTGAAGATAAAGATCTGCTACACCTTGTACATTGAAAATGTGATGTTTCCTGGTGCGTCCTCCACTCTGAGTATGTACTTGCTAAAAGCTGAGCAGAGGCATTTGAACAACTGCTGTAGCTCCAGCCCTTTCCTTGTCACTCAGAGTGCTCAGTGTAGGACAGATCATCTGCACTCCCACACTACACTGCACTTACAGACATGGAAAACAATCTGTTGTTTTTATGAGCTGGTCATTGAGCACTGCAGGCGCCTTTTGCAGAGCTGTGCAATTGATTGCATATATGGCTACCTGAAATAATTTTGCATTTGACAATGTTTGCCCCCCTGTGACAGGGCATGTTGATCAGCACTGATCTCACTGAGGCCTTTCCTCCCAGTGAGGTAACCTTTTTCCCTCAAATCCCTACTTTTGCTTTCTCTGTAGTATGTTTTCACCTGTAATTAATCGACAGAGCTCTAACTCTGGTCCCATAAGAACTTTGGTTCTTTAAGAACCTTTGGTGAGGGGCTTAACAAAAGCTTTCTGAAGAAAGGTCTCCTCCAAGACCTGCTTGTCTGCTAGGGAAGGAGGCAGCTGGTCTGGCTGATGGGGAGATGGTGGCAGGGCAGCCTGGCAGCAGTGATTTTCTGCATCAGCTGTGCCAGGCAGAAGAGCAGAACAAGGGATGTTGGACCAGTTGTTTCCCTGGACTGCATGCCCATTTCCAAGGAGGGGGAGGAAAGTGGTGTTTTGTGTTTAAAAATATGTCAGTCCCTGAGGCTCCATGTGACTCATTCAGTGCTTTTTCCAGCAAGGCTGTCTCCTTAGGCCCTGGTTGTTTTCAGCCTCACAGCTTATTCTGGGATCTCAGCTTTCTGGGACCATGGCTTCAGCAGAGGCTATACTGGATCTTTATCAGTCAGGTTTCTTTTTGTTTTAATTTGCCTTTTTCCCTTACTTGTTCTGCTTCTGTTCTGTTTTTCCCTCCTTGCCCACCCCACCCTACTCTTTCAGTAGGTCGCCTGGTGTAGCAGCAGAAGACAAGAAGGGAAGGCAGGAGCTGACCCAAAGGAAGAAGAGATCCAGTGACAGACGGACAGACACCTTGCTGCTTGTGAGCAAGCACGCAGCAGCAGCAACATCCAGCGTAGCAGAAGTGGCACCCAGAACGTTTGCACTTTTAAAAAATTGGTTTGGATTTTTTTTAATTGCTTTTCAATGCCATTATCTAATACTTTGGAAAGTGGAGGGAAGCAGGATCATGACTTTTTAAAATTGGAACAGCTACTGATGATGTAAAATTGAGTTCACTGGAACTCAGAATTTTATATACTGTATATAAATATATATGTAAATTGTACAGTTGTCTTGTACAGGGGTTGGAGTCACTGTTCTCTTCCTCCCTTTGCTTTTGAAGGCTGTTAGGGTTAGAGGGACACTTTGCATTTAATGGATTAGAGTAATGCATTCATTTCTGCCACCAAACCACCATTCAGTGGTGAGCCTTAACAGCACCTCCATGCAGGAAGGAGCCAGTGTATCAGCATGAATTCTTGCAGATGTGCACACAGTGCCTCAGATACCAAATGCTTCTTGAGAGCAGCTGAACCCCTTTTTTTACCATAAAGCTCTCTGCAACCCAGGCAATTGGGCTGGGCAATTGAGAGCACAGATTTCATGTAAGTATTGGTGCACTGCAAAACTGCTTAAAGTAGGGATAGAAAAGGGTTCTGTTAGGGATGTACAACAGTAGTGTGTGCACCTGTTGCAAGTTGGGCAGAAATTAAATACAAATGCATTGCTATTCATGCTCCGATAACATGCTTAGCAAAGATGCTCCGTGCCTCTGGAATCTAAAGCTGTAAGAAGGATGTGGGAGCCATAGGCCTAGTAGAGTCAGTGGAGTGAAGTCTTGCATCTTCTGCTCTGACAAAGTGTTCATCTGTATGTTGTACAGCAATAAACATTTGGAGAAGCCTGCTAAAAGCAGCATTAGCCTGCGTTGTGCTTTGCTGAAGAGCAAAGGACATACTTGTCAGTGCAGACAGACACAGTTGCTGCTGTCCCCAGGAGTCTGCTTTACTTAAGTTTCAGCAGTACAGCTTGGGCCATGCTCACTGGTGAAGGTCTGTCAGCAGTGGCTTTCTTGTCCTTTGTGGCTGTGAATCCAAGCTCTCCTCCTGCACAGTGGTGTGCCTGCCCACTTTGTCTGACTTGCTGTTGCCAGTACCTCCTGGGTGCTGTGACACTGGGGTGTGACTAGCAGTGACAGTGAAGGCTTGGAGAGAGGAGTCTGGTGCTCTTGGAGGCCACAGGAGCTGTGTCAAGCACTAGCAGTTTTAGTAGAGTTGTTTCTTTGGCAGGGGTGCCCATATCAGCAATCCTAGATTTGGGCAGAGTGTGGTGAGACACGCAGAGTTTTGCTTTGTGTATTTCCAACCACTGGCAGCACTCGCCTGTTCTGAGCAGCCTCCCACTTCTGACCTCGTGATCCTTCTGCCACTTATCTCTGGACCAAGAACCTGTTAGAAGAAGCTGTAGTGAAGGTGATGAAATGACGTGCTAATATGAGATCACACCAACAATTACTTGTAACAGCAATAGGTAACTGTAGAGACTGGACTCATCCTTCAAGGCTCTGTTGTTTTGGTAAAAGATGATACAATGCAGCACCTTCACTCTGTCATGTCATTGTGGCAATAGCATGAGATAAATACATCACCAAAATAAAGTGTCCTGATGCAGTAAGTTAGTGCTTGTTGACAAAATTGAAAGTTAAATAAAAGAAAAACTAACAAGCCTTTCTATAAATAACTGTTTAAGGGTAGTAATAACTCTTCCTCTGGGAAGTATATTGGAGCTAATTAAAACATATGGCACAGTTAAAAACACTTCTGGTAATATCTGAAATATACATCATACTATCATAATATAGCAAAGTCATCTCTTTAGCAAGAGCAGATCATGCTGCTGGATCTTCATGGTTTCTCACATACAATGTATGTGCTTTTTTGGCCTGCAAGCTCCCACCTTCTTGATTGCTTCTTCTTATGTTGTTCTTTGGGGGGGGTTTTTGTTTGTTTGTTTTTGGGGGTTGTTTTGTTTTGTTTTAATGCCCTGGGCACATCTTTTGTGTGTTGAAATAATTTGGTTTAGTGTATAGTTAGAAATGTCCATGCCACACTCTAATCCTATTGTAGAGAGTAAAGAATGAAACCAACTGTATAAAAAAACCTCCTCTCCATTTTAATATTCTAGTTTTAGGAATTAAAGTTCTGACTGCTAGGTTGGATGGTGTTTGGTGGTTTGGAGATTTTGGGGTTTTTGCGGGTGGGGTTTTTCTTTGTTCGGTTGGGTTTTTTTTTAATATATAGTTCTATCAGCAGAAACAGAGAATTGGATGTCTCTAGGAATTCTCTCAGCCAAGCACTGGGGCTGGGAAATGCCCCACAAGATTGTGAGGGGACTGCAGAGCTGCTAAAACTCACTGCATTTTCTTCTGGGAATAAACCAGCCAGTCACCACTCTTGCTTGTTATATAAATCCTTCTGCTGACCTCCTTTTTCTCATCCTTGTGCCCTTCCCCTCCAAAAGGCCTGCATTCACATGTTGTTTGCAACTGAAATTGGGTCAGTTCTTCAAGGAAGGCAAACACAGGGTGGCTGTTGGTTTACTTTGGTATTTGTGGGTATTCCTGTTGCTAGGCTAGGGCTGACTTTATGGATGGATTGGGGGCCAGGCATTACATTGCTTTCCTCTGTCACAAGACAGTTCCAAGTCTTTGCATCCTGACTTGCTGAATTTGTGTGGGTCTCTGAGCAGCTTCTGGCAACACTTGCACGCTGCCATGGAAGGCCCAACCAGCATGATTGTGTAATGTCCAGCAGAGGTCAGGTTTCTTGTTCTGGGTTTGTGTCGGAGGATTGTGCACACCATGCTGGTTCTGACTGACACAGCCCATGCTGTGAGCTGTCCAACAACCTGTACTTGTCAGATGAGAGCAGTGCCTCAGCTGCCTGTTTTCCCTCTCGGTTTTATTGCCACTCCACCTGGCTGCTAGGCCAAATCGTCCTCATCTGGTGGTTGTAAGCAATCTTCTGCTCTGCCTTGCATCAGTAGCATCTTTCTGAAGCTGGGACACAGGGAGTGTCAGTGTTCTCTCTGAAAGCAGACCCTGGGCATGTGTCTCCTCATCCTTCAAGTCCTGCTGGGCCTCTCCAGCTCTGCTTTGAATGGCGGCTGAAAACGGCTGGGACAGAGAAGAGAACCAGGACTCGACAGTGCAAGTCATTTGTTTGTCCTGCCAGAAGTAAAAAAATTAATCTTTCTTGCTGATCTTCCAGGGGCATAGTGTGTTGTAGGAAACTGCATTTCAGTGGGATTCATTTGTGTGAAGGCACTGCTTTCCATGGCCTGAGTTTATATTGAACTTATCCTGCCCCTGCGCATTTCTGCCTCTGGTAAATTTGTTAAACTGAAAGGCATCTGTTTGGTTTTGGTTTTGTAATAAAATAGATAACTTTTGCTCCAGTGTCTTGTGGTGGTTACTTGTTGAATCTTGATTTCCAGTTATTCCTACAGTGCTGCAGGAGAGCAAAGGGGACTTGGCTCCTTGCAGAGTCGGTGGTTGGGTTTGGAGGTCTGTGATGTTTCTCCCCCAGGCTGAATTAAAACAAGCTCCAGAGTGCATCTCTGTGGTTTGATGACAGCTGTCTGAATCTGCCCAGCCTGCTTAGAAAGGCTGTGAAGCTTCAGCAGGAGTGTAGAGATGATTGTAGAAGGTGAGCTGTGGGATCCTGTAGCACAGTCTCCCCACAGCACAGGTAGGAGACAGGCTCTGCACCTTGCACGTCCTCACAGCTCCCTTTCACATGGGAGCCTCATACTTTACTTTGCAGGTCATGCCTTGCTACATGGGAGCCTGAAATAGTATCTTCTAGCTGTTGTCCAAAACCTTTTAATCCTCAAAGATGGTGAGTAACAAGCCATGCTGGAAAGCTGCTGCTGTTGTAAAACATAGGTTTTTCTAGGCTACAAGGAAGGGCAATTCATCAGAGGCTGCAGCACTAGGTCCATGGCAGAGGAGGCCACACACTGATCCTTTCAAGTGCATTTGACCAGCTTTGTCATCACTATAGTTTCACTTGATCACATGTAAATCTTCTGCAATGAATAAGGAACCAACTCATTTATTGCACATGGAAGGCAAGGCAATTGCAGTCCCAGGGGAGGGTTTCTGCTTGTATGGTAGTCACAGGCTGGATTGTTTGTAGGTGGTCAGAGAGAGCTCTGCTAAGTCTTTCAGTGCAAATTCAACAACCAAAGAAGGAAATGCAGAGGTGTGACAGCCAGTGTGCATCTGTCAAGAATGACTGGCCAGCCAAGTTAATTTCCTTGTATTACCAAGGGTAACAAGTTCTGGGGCTAAGGGACAAGCAGTAGTTGTTATCTCTGGAGTCCTCCAAGACTTAACTAAAACCAGGAAAATGATATTTTGAAAAAGAAAATACCAATTGCTTGGCCATGCTTCCTGGTTCTGGAGTGGATATAAGGTACTGAAGAGGCCTTCCCTTGAGTATACTCAAGAGGGTTCCCTTGAGGGTACTCAAGACCCTCTCCCTGGCAGTGCTGCCATTCTGTACACAAGCCAAAAGGACTGAAAAGGGCTTGTTTCTGCCTCTGCTTCCAACAGTGATACTGCCATTTTTTTCCTTCTCCCCCAGCCTTTTTTCCTCTTATCTGTAACATAACTAACACAATCACATGCAGAATGTTGACCTTCTAAATTCTCAGCAGCCAGCCCTTACAAGCCATTTCAGGCAAAATACCTTGAAAACTTAGTTTCGTTAGTTTGGAAAACGCCTTGAATAGGAAATGGGTTAAAAAATGCCAGCTTAAGAACCAGGAGTCTTAACAGCAAGTGTTTTGTATGGAGTGTTTGCCAGGAAACCCAAGACTGGCTACTTTGGGAAGCAATTGTGCTTTGTAATTCTGCTGAGGACCTTCTTACGGATGTTAATGGTGGGTTTTGTTTTTCAAAGGGACCTTGCCTGTGCACTCCAGGAGCTGTCTAGCTTTCCTTCAGAAAACACCTCAAACTCTATGCTGAATGTTGTAGCACAAACCTATATCCTCATCTCCTGCAAAAGCATAAATGAACATTTATTCCACATTATGTTTTCTTTCAGCACATTGGGACTGGGCTGAGCATCTTCAGCTGAGGCACAGGAGCCGTGGCCGCAGCCTGTGCTCAGTGAGCCCACACCCACGGCCCAGGCAGTGCTGGTGGGTGGCTCTCTGCCCCCAGCTGAGCTAGACCTGCAGTGTGCTGCAGGCTCAGGGTGTACACTGGGCAATGAG